AATTTGGATGGACCACAACGTAGGTACAAACTTTTTTACTGGCAAATAATAATTAATGAAATGACAATAGGATAAGTTTGCCTTTAGCAGTACTAATAGTTAATTAATATAAGTGGGCTCAGTTCTTGGGGAGAGGAAATTCCTTAATGATGTGTTGTTTTTGGAGTTTCATTTCCTCTAAAACAAAATTTTGTGCTTGCAGATTATAGAAATTTAGTTGAACAGAGTAGCAAGATGAAAATGGGAACAAACCACGAAAAAATGTAATTTAAGTTTACCAATTTCACGATGTATCCCTAACACGAATTTATTCCCTTTTATGGTTCTCAAAGGCGTTAAGTAATCGTCTCCTAAGATAGAACAAATTTTTGTTTTCTATGGAAGCAACAAAACTATCAATGGAAATTCCAGTGAACCCAATAAAGTGTTTTCATACTCGAAGAATAATATCAGAATTTAGAGAGGAAAATAAGAATTAAAGCATAGAATATTTCCTATTAAAATTGTGTAAATTTTGTGGTAGTAGTGCAGGTTATTTATAGACTTAATCCTCGTTATTCGAACATTCTACAAGCCTCTTTAGAACAGTGATGACTTTCAAACAATCCTCCAAAAATGAATAGACAGCTTTGTACAAACTAATATACTACGTGGTTAAATTAGTTAACAAACATCTGTTACAAAAAAATAGTCGTTGTTCACAGACGCACCCAGATAGAAAATCCCCTGGACACAAGCCAACAATTGAAATTTAAATTACCGTTAAAAAATTATTGACTAAGAACATGTTTGAGCCTCAAATTTTTTATTTTATTTTTTCAAAAATACATTTTAGAATAGTGGATTGATGAAGAACGTGTGGCTAAAAAATGAAAAAAAAAATTGATTATTATATAGTTGAAAATAAAAGAGAGAAGTGCATTTGAAAAATAATGGGGACCAAACAAGGGGTAAGTACTAAACCATTTGATTAATTACAATTTGGTCCAAAATTTAAATAAATTTTGTCTAAAAAATACATAAATAAGACAATGACTCACCTGTGCACGAATCGAATTGGACCTAACTTGGATTCGGACACGGACCATGGCCAGTGCAAATGCGAAATTGAGCCTGTCGTGTCAAGCCGAACTAATTGGGCATCGGCGTGCATGCTTGTGGACTTAGAATCGAACCCAATATGATCTTGATTTTTCCATTCTAAAAACTATTGGTACTCTTTGAGACACAAACTCAATTCTCAAACTTCCACTATATACACCATACAAAAGTTTCCAAGGTTTCCATGTGGGATAAGTGTTCAATAATTTTCAATTAAATGAAATTCTTCACTTATTTAAATTCTCAAGTGGATAACTTTGAAATTAATTATTTAATAGAAATTCTAAATGATTTTCGATGAATAAATATATCATGTTAATCATCTCACGGAAGAGAACGTGAATATGATTGGTCCCGTTAATTTCGGAGTACGAATCTTACTAAAATTAGTATTCAAAGTGACGCATCTCACTTTATATTAAACCATTTCCAGTAAGATGTACTTGCACCATGTTAATTAGGGTTGAGTGTGATTCGATTTCATTTTAATTATTTTCTCATCTTTTAATTTTGACACGAATTATATATCAATTTAGAGATCCTTTTGATTTTTGAAATTACTAAAATCGAATGGAGTTCGGTTCCATTTGAATATATTTTCATTGGATTTATGCCTAGGTACAATTCCATATTTACAATGTCATTAATGTTGTGTGTGAACAACGTTAATAAAGTTGAATACTATTACGAAAGGAGATGTAAGCCAATATTTATTGATTATTATGTTCAATTTTAATATATTAAAAATATACTATAAGAGCATACAAGGGCCCTTTATAAGTGAAATACTCTCTATTTTAATTAAGTCAATCCTTAGTATTATGTTCTAGAACTCTTCAAATTAACCATTTAAAATAGAGAGTGAGAAAAATAATAAATACTTATTGAGAGTAGTAAACTTAAGTGTAAAAAATAAATAAAATATTGGAATATTTAAAAAAAATTTACTCTCTAAATTTATAGTTATTCTCTAAAATTGCAAAATATGTTATTTAAAAATAGAGTCTCTTGAAGATTTTCTAAGGGTCCGTTTGATTGCAAATGTGGAAAATGAGTGGAAAGAAAATGTTTTACAGAGAATTGATTTGCCTAAAAATTATTTTCCTACGAATTGTAATTAATTGTATTTGATTGGTATAATTTTTCATGAAAAATGTTAAAAGTTTGGTGTCCTTTTGACTTCGTTTTTTATGGAAATTGTCCATTAAATTGATAATATTTTCTACAATTGAGTCTAGAATTTGTTCCAATTGCTAAAAAAAGAAAATAATCATACCGAATACCATTCGTTTGTCTTTGTTTTATATGAAAATTGTCAATAAAAGTGAATTTTTTTTTTTACCATCGTATTTAGAATTTTTTTCCAAAAGAACAAATAAAAAAAATGGAAAATATTTACCCACCAAAACATCAAGAATTTATTTTCCTCAAAAATGTGGAAATTTGGAATGTTGGAAAATATTTTTCAGGAAAATTTTGCGTATCAAACACTACAAAAGTTTTCCTCAAAAATGTGAAAAATTTGAAAGGTTGGAAAATATTTTCCCGAGAAAATTTTATCTATCAAACACTACAAAAGTTAGAAAATAAAAATTTTCATGAAAAATATGTGCTATCAAACGGTGCCTAAGAGTTCTCTAGTGGAACAATTGATTGGGATTCAATCGGGTCAATTGAGCCATGTTTAGGTTTGACTATAATAAATTAATTGCAAAATCGTCAATCTTTAAAGATTAATGACATGTTTGATGTGGATTTTTTTTTTTTTAAGATTACGTTTTGTAAAAAGTGATTTTTTTTAGAGAATGTGTGATTAAAAAGTAAGAAAAAATTGTAGATTTAAGTGCAAATTTATTTTATTGAGAGAATGTAAATTTTTTTTAAAAAAAATTAAAGAATATAGACAAACAAAGGCTAAATAACGTAATTGGGTAATCCGAATTCGAATATAAATAAACATCACAAAATCAAATTAAAAACCTTTTAAAAAATCAAAAGAAAATGCTTAACATAAGCACTAGAATTAATTATTATCTCCAACAAAAAAAATATTTAAATAGAACGCTAGCATTATCAACTTGACACTCATTTCTTTCATTTCTTTTTCTTTTTTATATCATCAAATGATTTCACAATATATTTATTTAATTTTATCTACTGTATTCCAAATAAGGAAAATTATTAAATTTCTAAAAGTTGGGTAGCACAATGCAAACGATCAAATTATTTAAATTATATAAAGCAGAATTAATTATTTAATATTATTATCACATCCAAAAAATTTCTATTTAAAAGTGATGCACATAATTCATAAAGAGGCATCAAGAGATTACTTTTTGTTTGCTTCTAGAATGAAGATTATACGTATATGAATATCAAAATTTATCGAGACTAACCCTATTTGATAACCATTATTTTAACTCTTTTTTTTCTCATACTCATTTTCAACTGCGTATTTTCACAATAAAATATTCTTTACGTAAACTCAAAATTATCCTATACATTTTAACCCAAAATTTATCGGGACTAATTTATTCTTGTTGCACCACGATATGACTTTTGTGTTACATTTTAAAAAAATAGAACTTGTAACTATAAAATCAGTTCCAATTCACCCGATTTTGGGTAAATTTGTCGGTTTTTTACTGAGTTTTTAGTTTTCGATATTCAATAGAAACTAGACTAGTTCTTGAACTCATTTTCAATCTTTGCGGTCGAACATGCGTGTTGGATTCCTATATCATTGATCATGACACAATTATTTATATACTATTCGTTTGAAAATTAATCACTTATGAGTGTAACCCACCCACAATTATAAGTAGGGCATATCTACATTGGATTTGAGTCAAAAAAGATAGTCAAGAAACCCCTTTCACTCACTCCCCTGCCTCAAAGCAATTCCCTTTAATTCCCTGTCCCACAAGAAAGTGAAATAACCCAAATTATGTCTCCTCAGATTCCTTTCTTTATTTCAAATAGAAAATAAAACATCCTCTGTGTGTCTTTATCTTCCTGTGGCCGTTCTTATTTTTTCCCACTGCTTTGTCTGTGGGCTTGCTTCCCTTTTCTTTTCTTTCCTTTCGAATTATGGGTCTAGTACATAAATCATTTTTTACCATACTGTTCATTTCATGAAAGATTTAAAAGAACTAAATTATGAGCAACCAAGATAAATCAAGTTAGTTTTGATCTATCGCTCTTCTAACTTGTTATACCGATATCATATGATTCATATGAACGAGTCTTTTTAGTATATGCAAGTACAAATCGGATAAATAGAATAAAAAGATAAAGGGCATATTTAGCCCCTGTTTAGTATATATTAAAATTAGATTTTAGTCGATTTTTATAAAAATTAATAAAGTACGTAGTTGAAAAATTGTAAATCATAAAATGCGTCGTTAAAATTAATTGACTTTGACTTGAAATTTTTAATCTATACCAAATAGGGGCTTAATTAAAGTAAGATTTTAATTTCTTAATTCCTATTTGATAAAGATTAAAATTTAGATTTTAATTTAATTTAAATCAACAATTAATTTTAATCAAATATTTAATGAGATCCTCAACTTTTTAACTACATATTTCATTAACTTTTATCAAACTATGATTAAATCTCCTGTATGATGGGGAATAAAATCAGATTTTTAGCATATTTTGTTAAAAGTCGGTGAAATGTATGGTTGAAAAGTTAAAGATCCCATTTAACTTAAATCAAAATCAAAATTTTAATTTCTATCGACGGAGGCTTAATGTTATTTAGTTGTCTAGTTCAATGTATTGAAAGTGTGGTCACAAAAGTATAAAAAGAAACAAATGGGGATCTTTGTCCCTACTCAGCTACATTTTAAAGACTTGCCATCCTCTTTCATTTCCTTTCACGGATGAAGATAATCATGGCAAAGAGTAATCAAGACATGTCCTCTAAGAGACATTTCCACTGGACAACAAAGGTTACCAATGAAGATGATACATTTCCAACCTTAAACTCTTCAAACTCTACTGATCAAGAGAAACAGGAGAATCCTCCACAAGTTCAAGCCTTCAAATCTCCCGTCCCCGACGAGGAGGAGGAAAACGACACTGCGACGGGCAATCAAGAGAAGCCCCTACAAGTTCCAATTTCCAAGTCTTCCATCCTGGATGAGAAAAAGGGAACCGATACTGCAACGCGTGATCAAGAGAAAAATGAGAAGCCCACGCAAGTTCCAATCTTCAAGTCTTTCGTCCAGGACGAGAAAAAGGAAAAAGACACTGTAACGCGCGAACCTGCAGGTCCTCCAGGCCCAGGGCTGGTGGCAACAAGGAAAAAACTGCAAAATATTGCAGTTTCCAGGCTGCGGTCTGTCCTGACAGCGTTAGGGAAATCACCAGCCCGTGGTGACGGCCAACAAGCACTTGGATCCCGAGTAGTCGGCACCCTCTTCGGGTACAGAAGGGGACATGTCCATTTTGCGTTTCAGAAAAATCCCAGTTCAGAACCAGCTTTCTTGATTGAACTGGCCACTCCAATCTCAGGCCTTGTTAAAGAAATGGCGTCCGGCCTGGTTCGTATCGCCCTGGAATGCGATAGGGAGATGGAGAAGAAACCGATGAGGCTCCTGGAAGAACCCCTGTGGAGGACAAACTGCAATGGGAAGAATTATGGATTCGCAACAAGGAGAGAATGTGGAGAAAAAGACTGGAAAATATTGAAAGCTGTGGAGCCAATTTCAATGGGGGCAGGGGTTTTGCCTGCAGAAAACAATGGAGATTTTGGTGCAGAATCTGATGGTGAAATAATGTACATGAGGGCTAAATTTGAAAGAGTTTTAGGATCTAGAGATTCAGAGGCATTTTATATGATGAATCCTGATAATAATGGGGCTCCTGAGCTTAGTGTTTACTTGCTTAGAGTCTAAAGAAGCAGCCATGGAAGATCTGATATTACATATATGTTTAATTACTTATTTTTGGGTTTTTGCTTTTCTGTTATATAATATGGAAATTGGGGTTAATTTTGGGATGTAAGTGTTCTATATTAACTTATAACTTGAATTAAGCTTGCCTTTTTTTTCTTTTAATTAATGTGTTTGGATTCAGTTTAGTTTAGTTTAGTTTAGTTTTCTTGCACAGAATCATCTATCATGGCTGAAAATGTCCATGATTAACATAAATTTAAGAATAGATCGAGCATATTTACAACAAGAATTCATGTAATTGATCTTAAAATGAGAACAAAAATATTCGTTCTCATTAGTCCATTGAAGTGAATCTTGATTTGATTGTGCTAAAAAAAAAAAACCCAACAAATGACTCGTGTTCTCGGGAAATTGACACCTACAAGTCTTACAACGCAGTACGGGACATGATGCGACTAGGAATAACAAAGTATAACTTGTCTACTTAATTCTAAAACTATTGATACCAAATATTCACTTCATATAAAATATGAAATTTTCTTTAACATAAACTAAAGGGAAAATTGCAGCTTAGGTCTTAAACCTTTCAAAAAGGTGCCATGAATCCCAATCCTTCAATATTTGACATTGTCATCCCAAAATTTTGCACATATATGCAGTATAAGGACATTTGAATGAGATCTTTCCAAAAGTCAGTCAATTTGCTGAACAATCATTGATTGACCTTTAATTGACTATTTTTTAAAATGGCAAGATGGTCTCTTCACATTTAATTAAAAGAAAGCAATTCATAAAAGAAAAAGAAAAATATCGTCTCCAAACCCACCCATCTCCCCCCCTCAACCCAAACATGTGCTACCACTTCCTGGGCGACCTCCGCTGCCACCACTGGCATCGCCCTCCTCCATCCCAGCTAATGCCAAGGCACCACCATCACCCCTATGGCCAACAACCAGCCGCGAACCATATAAAGACATTTGAATTGCGAAATCGAGGAGAGAAACGTCATTAGTTTTTGTAGCAAGAAGTGTAATTTCTCTATCCTGAATTTCATGCCCATCACCACGCTCTGAGAAGGAATTCAAGTCTTCTGATTGAAGATGGGGAGTGCCGTGATTGGATTTGGGGTGGTGGCGGTAGGATGGGTGAGGAAGATGATTAATTTTTTTTCCTTTATCTTTTTAAAATTCTTTTGTCATTTTTGTTTGTCTTTTCAATTATTCCAAGGGAAAAAATTGTGGAAAGACAATTTTACCCTTCTAAAAAGTGGGCAACTGCAATCCAGGCACTTACTCTACTGGAAGTCCATCCAATAGTCCTTGATCCACATATTTTTTCAGACTTTTAAATGGTAGTGCCAAAAATAGAAAATGGGATCCCATCTGCAATTTTCTCTAAACTAAAGCACTAAAAGATATTTGACTGGTCAACAAGCACTTTAATCCCATTAAAATCTCGTTTAAAAAGTGATTCCTTATCTCCTATACCAGTCAAAACACACACATAGACAAAGCAATTTAGAACAAATTATTGATCCCTTGCCAGTTTGCTACTTTACGTAAAAGAAATTATTTTTAGTGCAATTAAAGCAATCACAACAACTTCCTTTCTATCCACGACAATTAGAATTTTGTTTTTGACAAACATTGAAATATGTTGCAGCCAAACATGTATCAAATATTTACTTTGTAAGATACGACAAAATATATGTCTATCATTATTTATTAAGATTCTCTCTTTTAATTGATTTTAAGACGAAGCTGCCTTAAGGTGTTAACCCCACCCACCCACCCACCCACACACACACACACACAGGCATCAATTGTGTTGGGATAGGTGCAGGGGCCGAGCAAGGGGGACAATTTTTCATTTTTTTTTTTCCAGTTTGTATTGCTATGTACACATAGCAATGTTCTAAAAAGAAACTGGGCTTGGGGGCACGTTCTGCCCCATCCATTCGCCCTTGGATAGATGGAATATCGAGCCCAACATTTTTCAAAAAATATTGAAAAAATACAAATTCAGAAGGATTTTCACGAGTCAACTTACTACATTTGGACTAAACAAGAGCATGGGAGCTCACCATATCTATTTTCGACCGCCAAACTTCCCTAATGAAGTCTCAAAATCAATTTCAATTCATAGCACATTCCACTAAATTTGAAAGTAAGTAAACATTACTTTTTAATAAAAATTTTCTATTTTCGAGCATACTTAAATGTGTTATTTCTTATTTTTAGTTAGAGAAATAACTTATTTTAAAATTAACCCTTTAGTTAGGAACATACAAGAAATCAAATTGAACTAACCCGTCCACGTCTTGAAACCCGCCCAAATAGTTTGGAATTGGGCCCAATTCATGTCGAATCCGTTTATTTCTTTGTTGGGCAAACTTTTGGGCCCACTACACGCTGATGCCATTTTAGTTGAACGTGCTGAAATCTTTTTTTAGGTTTGTATCCAATTTAGTTGGGGCCAATTTTTATGATTGTGTTACTTTTAAGAGAAAATTACACGAAAACATGGATTTAACATTTCATTATCAAAAATCAGATTACTAAAATTTTTATTCAAAAATCAGGTACTAGATAAGTTATTATTATATATAAAATATATATTATATTAATATGTTTCATTGTTCCCATTTTTATTAGTTAGATGCTTTCTCTTTCTAAAACCCCATCCCACACCTATACTCACGCAAGTAAGAACTTGTCTGGCCAAGCTTTTTCTGGGATTAAAATGAGAAAACAGAACGTTGCGTGAGAGAGTGGAAGTCAAAAAGTGCGGCCCAACGGTAGGATTTCTGATGAAAATTCAGCCAAAAAGCTTGGCCAGACAGGTTCTAAATATCTTTATTCTAGATGCGTCTTCTGCTTTCCAATTCTTTTCCTTAAAAAATTAAATAAAATTAAATTCTCTCTTCATATAACAACACTTTCTCTCTCTATAGATCCAATCGTCGTCTTCTTCCGACCACCGTCTTCTCTCAACCATCGTCTTCTTCAAACCACAATCTTCTTCATACCGTCTTCTCCAGATGTGATAAGGTTGGAGGTGGAGGTGGTGGTGGTGGTGCGAGATGTTAGTGTGGTTACAGTGGTGGCGGTACATAGTTGCTAGAGAGGGGCTGTAATGTAGCCCTTTCTCCCGTCTATCTCTTTATGGTGCCGGAGATGGTGGGGGTGGGGGGATGTTGTGAAAACTAATGGCTCCCAGTGGTTGGGTGTTCATCTTCGCTGCGCACGGTGCGATCCATTAATCCTCTTTTTTTTTTTGATGCGGTGGTTGGGTGCGATGGTGCTTAGTGGTGGTTGGGTTCAGTTGAGGTTAGGTGTGGTATGGGGTGTTATGGTGGTGACTGGTGTTATATGCGGTAGTACGGTATGCTGGTTGTAGCTATGAGCATAGGATCTTCATGTGGTGGCAGTTGTGCTGTACGCTGGTGGTCGTCGTGGTTGTTTTTGACCAATTTTGTGTTGATTGTGACCAATTGTGACTTGAGATTTATCTTGAACACAGAAAGTCACATTCAATACAAATTTGGTCACAGTTGGTCACACCGAAGACAAAGTTTGTCACGGTTAATCCATCTCTTATTGATGTTGAATTGGAAGTTCATATAAGTTGGTAACTCGTTCATGGAAAATGCTGGGGTGTAGGTAAGCTCCTCTCTGATGTTAAGTAGGGTGCAGCCTCATATTCATTCCATTCTGGATTTGGAGAAGGTATGACTTGGATTGTATGAAGCATTGACGGTACAAAAGGTGCAGTTTCATTCGATACCCTTGGTTATATGTGGTGACCCTATGCGATCAAGTATGTGTTTGCTTGTGACCGATTGTGATCAATTTTCTGTTGATTGTGACCGATTGTGACTTGAGATTGACCTAGTCACAGACAATCACACTAGACACAAATTTGGTCTCAGTTAGTCACATTGAATACAAACGTGATCACAATTAGTCACGAATGACATGTGTCAGCGAATGGGGGTGGTGGTAGGTGGATCCATAAGAATGGAGGTGGGGCTGTGATTTCCAATTTTTAATTTTCTGAAATTTTTTAAGTCACCAGAACAGTCATCGCAGCGACAGCCAGAGTGATCACTGGAACCGAAGTGATCGTCGGAACAGTCGTCGAAGCGACCGCCGGAGCCGATGGTTGTCTTCGGTGGAGAGGTGGAGGGAAGGTGGTGTAGTGGGGTGATAGGATGGGGAAGGTAAGGTAGCATTGGTAGTTATTAATTAATTAATTAATGTATATTTTATTGTATTTTAATATTTAATAAATTTATTTACCGTCTGATTTTTGAAATATTTTAATGAGTTTGTTATTTATGAAATGTGGTCTTTAAAACTAAGAGTTATGTATTGTTTCCTACTTTTAATATCGTCCATGGAGGGTAACCTTGAATCCAATAGAACAACATGAAACTAAATTGTTAAAAATAAAACATATTAAAAGTAACACAATCAACAAATTAAATACCTAGTGCATATTTGGACTATCAACAAAACATGTATCTTAATAATTTATCTAGAATTTTGTGATATTTACCATTTGAATTACTTCATAATAAAATACAATTAATTTTGAAGAATGTGATAATATTGTATGATTTAATCAATCAATTATTCAAACTAATCAATGTTGACATTACATTGGTTATATGTTTTCCTTCAATGATAAATACTAATTCAAAATGATATGTTCTTCGAAATATGTGCTATTTCGAGAGCACTTTATGTTTTATTATTAATTCTTCAATAGTAATATGTCAATATTCTTCTAAAATACTGAAAATTATAATTCATGCTCTTCAAAAACAATCGCATATTATTATAATAAATTATACAAGAATTAACTTTCAGGAATAAAAACATAATTTATGTTATATTGTGTTTAATTATACTATTTGCGAGTAAATAAAATTTAACTAGAATATATGTCAATAATATTGTGCTATTTTAAGAACACCAATAATTTATTTACTCATC